TAAATGTCTATCAACAACCGGGTAGTCTAAATAATAAATTATGTATTAAAATTACATTGTTAAAATTTTAATTCCATAATAAAAATAACAAAATACAAACATAAAACATTAAGCTCTATGTGTGTACATGGGCCACAAATAATTTTAAATATTATTGTTTTGATACTCTCCATGCATAAAATCCTAAATGACCAAAAACCTAATAAGAGTAGAAGGCCATTCCTTGGTTCACATATGATAATTGTGAGACTCCAACTATTCTAAATACCTCAGGATCACAGTAGCATCAGTGGAGTTACATAGGAGCTTTAAAAAAGCAAGGCAGTCTAATAACTAACATTTATAAGCTCGTCTCATTCAAGAGGAACACAGGAGAAGTCATTTGTGGTCCCCCAAATTTAAACAGTGTTTTTAACATTCAGAAGTTGCTTACTGCTATGTAACTTCCAAGCTTCTTTTTAATAGAATTTGTATATACCAAAGCATCATTAGCCATTTTAATCTTACCTTAAGTTTTTAAATAAAATTTGTTAGGTATATTCAAGGATTAGAATATAATGTTATGGGATATATAGAGATAATAAAATTTGTACAGTAGGGAATCAAATTAGCTTATCTATCATCTTACATAGTTCCTTTCTTGATGCTGCAAGAGGAGATCAAATATTAATAAAAATTCTGAGAAGCGCACTATTTTCTTTACTGGAGTTCTCATTTTGTACACTAAGTCTCTAGATTTGATCACCCTATATATTGCTATTCTGTATCCTTAGACCTACATCTGTCATTTCCTCCCTTCCTCCCCTCTGCCTCCTATAAACCAGTTTTATTCTTTATCTCTGTATGTTCAACCTGCCTCTTCTTTAAGACTCCACATATAAATGAAATCGGGCAATATTTTTCTTTCTGTTTGTCTTATTTCACTTAACATTATACTTTCCAGGTTCACTCATATTGTAGTAATTGACAGGATCTCCCTTTTTAAGGCCAAATAATATCCCATTGTACATAAACACCATATTTCCCTCACCCATCCATCCATCGATGGACACTTAGTAGTTTCTATACGTTGGTAATTGTAAATAATACCGCTGTCCACAAGGAGTCCAGATATCCTTATGGAATAGTGATTTCGTTTCCTTTGGGTATATAACCAAAGCAGAGGTTACTGGGTCATATGGTAGCTTTATTTTTAATTTCTTTGAGAACTTCCATAGTACTTTCCACAATGTATACATCAATCTACATTCCCATCAAGTATACTAGTGGCCCTTTTCCTCCACGCCCTCACCAACATTTGTTATCTCCTGTTTTTACAGCCACCCAAATGGGTGCCAGATGATATCTTATGGTGTTTTTAATTTGCATTTTCCTGATGATTAGTGATGTTGAGCACCTTTTCAATATATCCATTGAACACGTTTATGTCTTCTATGGAGACTATCTATATAGGTCTTTTGCTGAATTTTATTTTTATAGTCTCATCTATTAAATTATTTTTTTAAATTATTATTTTTTTGTAATTGTATTTTCTGCTATTGAGTTATAGTCATTCTTTGTATGTGTTGGTTAGTAACCCCTTTTCAGACACATGATTGGCAAATATTTTTCCCAGTCTGTACATTGCCTTTTTGTTGATTAGTTCCTTTGCTATGCAGAAAACTCTTAGGTAAATATAGCCTCGGTTATTTATTTTTGTCTTTGTAGCCTGCACTTCTGGTGTAATATCCAAAAAGCCTTTAACAAAATTCCTCAATGTCCAGGTGTTTTCTTTCCATGTTCTCTTCTATGAGTTTCATAGTTTTATGTATTAGTTTATGTATTTTATCTGATCTCTATGTATTGTGTAAGATAAGGTACAGGTGTTGTGTAGTTGTTGTTGATGTTGTTGTTGTTTATTTGGAAATGCAGTTTCACCAACACTGCTTCTTGAAGAGACTATACTTTTCCCATTTTGTCCCTCTGATAAGTTTGTCAAAAAATAGTAGACCATATATATTGGAATAGTTTCTAGACTCTATTCTGTTCCACAGATCTGATGATGTCTGTCTTTATGCAAATAGTTTTTATTATGATAGTTTTATAATATATAATTTTAAACCACACATTTGATGTTCCAACTTTGCTTTGATTTCTTAGGCATTTTTAATTTTTTGATGTGATTATATAACGTCTTAGGATTTTTTTTTCTTTCTTTGAAGAAAGCCATTGAGATTTTGATAAGGATTGCTTTAAGTCTGTGTGTTTCTTTGAGTAGTATAGACTTGATCAAAACCAATTGTTTCACTACTGAAGTCATAGGATTGGGTAAGAACTTTCTAAACAGAACACCAGTGGCACAAGAAATAGTACTAATAATCAAAAATAGGATTGTATCAAATTGAAAGACTTTCACACAGCAAAAGAAACAACAAACAGAGTGAACAGCCAACCCACCGAATGGAAAAAGGTTTTTTGGCAGCCTCTTTTGGGGCAGAGGACTAATGTCTGGAATATATGAAGAACTAAAACAAGACAAAAAATAGGCTTCTAAATTTAAAATACCCAATCAAAAAAGGAGCAGTTGAGATGAATAGACTCTTGACAGAAGTAGAGGTACAAATGGTCAATACATACAAGAAAAAATGTTTAATATCACTGGCCATTAGAGAAATGCAAATTAAAACAATGTGATTCCATCTTATCCCAGAATAATTGTCATCATGAAGAAATCAAATAAAACAAATTGCTGGCAAGGCTGCTGGGGAAAAAGGAGCCCTTCCTTCTACATTACATTCTGGTTGATGAGAATGGAAACCAGTAAAACCACTATTCAAAGCAATATAGAGATTTCTCAAAAATTAAAACTAGAAATTCCATTTGACCTAGATATTAGCCTTCTTGGTATCTTCCCAAAAGATTTAAAGATATCATATTACAGTGATGCATAATAAATAAATATATATATATATAGCAGCACGAGTCATAATAGACTTGGAAACAGCCTATATGTCCATCACCAGATGAATGGATAAAGAAAATGTGCTATTTACACACAATGGAGTACTACTCTGTTATAAAGAAGGATGAACTTCAGTCATTTGTTGGAAAACGGATCTATCTTGAGACCATAATGTTAAGTAAAATAAACCAAATATACAAGCCTAAATGTCTCATAATTTTTCTTATATGAGAAACCTCAAGTATAAATAAAGACCAAAACAGAAGATAGAAAACAAGAAGGAGATAGATTTTTCTCAAATGGGGAGGGGAGCAAGACATGGGGGGTGGGGAGGATAAAAAAGCGTTAAGATGTGTTGTATACATGCACCTATGCCCCTCAAGTAATGTAATGGCCTTTGTTATATTGAGAAATATATCCAAAAATATCTTTCTATATCCAAAAAGTATATTGAGTTTTGTTGCTCTTATTTATTTTGCAAATGTTTTACTGTAAATAAGTAGTTACATAAGGAAAAAAGGCATCTCAAGGTAACCAAGCAACCACATTTGCCTAGGACTGTCCTGGTCTTAGCACTGGACATCCAGTAGCCTGGGGAAGCCCCTCAGCGCCAGGCAGCCCTGGTAGTTGCTCACTCTTAGTCTACCAATTTTATCTGTCCATTTTTAAAGCTGCGTTACCCTTAACTTTTTCTAATAATAAAGTATTTCATTTATTTGACAAAAAATTTGTTGAACCAGGCTATAAAAGTGGCAGTAGCTGTAGGTACAAAAAAGGAATAGGATCATCCAAAAACATTTCAAACCTAGTGAAAAAACCAGATTTTGACACATTTGAGTTACTATAATACCACTTCAGACTGTGGAGTTCTTTTATAAACATCTATTGCCTCCAGTAACGAGGTATAGGTGGAAAATGTTTTCAATTAGATAAAAAGTTACAATAAAGGTGATTTGTAGACCATTTCTGCCACGAATTTAAACATTTAGAAGCAAAGATACCTCAAAATAACCATGAAACCATCTTTTTAAGCTAAATGACATTCCCGTGCTCTGTCCTAATGGCTCTGACAAGCACTTCACATGGAAGGTTTGGTGTAGAAGCACAGTTACATTCTAATGGCAGGATGAACTAACCTTTGAGTTAGAGTAAACAGATTGATCCTACTTAAGAGTGGGACAAAAGACCCAAGTGGACTTAATACTGCAGGTAAGATCCTGCTGGGTTTGTTAAATTCTAGAACTCTATTTATAAGGGGAAGCCACAATCAATACAATTTTCCTAGACAACTTAATACCTTGAGTACTCTTTATTTCATCAAAAGAAAAGCTATTTCTAGAATTCCTCATGCTTATTAACAAACCCTCTGCCATAGATTTAGCTACTTGAACTACTCGTCATAGAATCTCCAGAGTATGAAATGCATATTAAAGCTCAAGTGCAATACCTTGTATCCCTGGCGAAGCCCAACCGACCTCCAATGCTGCTTGACAAAGTTCCAGCTGGGGGAAAGAAAGGGTGGAACACATCGTACCCTCATGTTTTACTTTTTTCTTGCCATAATGTTTATAATTGTTACTCTGGTCACAGGAGTCATTGTGTTTGTGACTAACAACAAACTCTCCATGAGGCAAATTGGCAATGATATATTGAAATTTGATCTGGCTCAAAAGATTCAAATTCCAGTTTCTCTTAAGTTCTATTGCCACATCCACTCCTAAAGAAACCTCTCTTAAAACCCCTGCTGTTTTCCCACTACTATTACTCCCTCTCTTATTGCTGACATTCTTTTTACTAAAGGGGTCTTATAAAGAGATTGAAAGGACAGACTTTAGATGTAAAAAATAGTGGGAAATGGGAAATAAAAAGAACGTTAAGACAGGCAAATGCATTAAGGAGGCAAGTTACTCAATATTTCTCAAAGTGCTGTAAATATCTCCTGCTCACGGACTATGAACCAAAATGACATTTAGTTAAGATGAATAGAGGTATAAAAAAATAGAGAGCTAATAACAAACTATATTAACCATTGTGCAGTTTCTCAAGACCACGAGTTTGACATTTAATTTGATTAAGTTACTTTCTGTTCTGCTCAGGTATAGGAAAATACTTTCTGTTCTGCTCAGGTATGGGAAAATACTTTCTGTTCTGCTTAGGTATGGGGAAATAAGGGGACAATTGTAATTTTTTAAAAAATGTATTCATGATATTCAATGAAATGAATCAGCTTAGAAAAAATATACTGTTTAACAAAAATAACCTTTACCTCATCAGACATTGTTAAGGCAACATGTTCCGCCCAATGCCTCTTCGCTATTGCTTAAAGATATAAAAATAAATCAGACCCTGAGACTTCTCAGAGGGAACCTAAACATTGCTTGTGAAGGTTCTTTTCTCATCGCCGGCCCAGGACATCTCCCCTTCCTACCCTACATCGACTGCCGCTGGTCCGTGGCATATCCCCTTGTAGATTTTGTCTGTACAGTGACTATGCTCATTCATTCTGAGGCTCAGCTTGTCATCCTTACTGGTAAAGGTGAGGATGTGGCTATTAGAGCTCATTAGACTTGAAAAAACTGAAATTTACTTTGAACTTCATTGCCGAGTTAAAATCACGTGCAAACATACATATAAAGAAATTGCAGGATCTATCTTTACCTCTTGATTGGTTTTTGTCCTCTTTGTTTATATCCCAGCAGTACAGGACAAGATGTCTTACCTTGCACACTGTGATATTTTGCCTGTGGCTCCTTGTTCCACTGCCCAGAACGTCTTTCTGCTTGTTTTCTGGGAAGTGCCTGCTATCTCCTTAAATCAGCAACTTTTCTACAAATGCTATCGTGGATTTGGTGCCTTTTCTCTGTATCTTCCAAGTCCTTTGGAAATACATATATTTATGAAAGTTGTCAGATGTTATTTATTTTTTGTTTGTAATTGTGGTGAAATACACATAACAAAATCTACCATGTTAACCAGCTTTAAATACACAGTTCAGTAGTCTTAAGTGTATTCATATTATGTAATCAATCTCCAGAGCGTTTTCATCTTATAAAACAGACACTATACCTATTCAATGGGTCTCCCACTTCCCTCTCACCCCACCTGAGGCCCTGTAACCACTATTCTATTTTCTGCTCCAATGAATTTGACTACCCTAGTTACCTCACACGAGAGGAATTATAGCATAGTTTTCATGAGTCCCTTATTTTACTTAGCATAATGTCTTCAAAGTTCACCTGTGTTGTAGTCTATATCCAAATTTCTTTTCATTTTAAGGCTGAATAGCATTCTAGTGTAAGTATACACCACATTTCCTTATCCACTCTTCCATCCGTGGTCATGTGGGTTGCTTACATCTTTGGCTATTGTGGATAATGTTGCTATGAACATGCATATACAACAATCTCTTTGAGATGCTGCTTTCAATCATTTTGGATTTACAGACAGAAGTGAAATATTTGCATCATATGATAATTCTATTTGTATTTTTTGTGGAAATGCTATGCTGCTTTCCCTAATGTTTTCATTCTATGTTCACACCAGGAGCACACAAGGGTTTTTTTTTTTCATATGTTTACCAACACTTGTTGTTTTCTACTTGCTTGTTTTATGGTAGCCTTTCTAATAAGTTTCACAAGGTTATCATGTGTTATTTAAATTACCTTAAACATTGGCTTTCAGAGAAGCATTTCTTTTCAACTGGGCACACTCATATTTATGTTGTTTACTGTCTAATCACCTGCCTAGAATATAATATGTCCTTTAAAAGTTCTCTACAAAAAATAAATATTGCCACTGGTAAAAACTGATGTAAAACTCCAAATAAGCATTAGATTTCATTAAGAACAAGAACAGGCAACTCTTGGATTCCAGTGGGTCGAGTGGAGAAGTCACAGTTGGAAGCTCCAGATGCTGATGGTGCAAGAAAGCTCCTTTTAGAGAAAAAAGGGAAGAGGGGGACAAAATCAGAGAACTGTCCAAGGGCTCAATAACTCTGAAAGGTTTATTGGAGGGAAATACTGTCTTGTATAATCCTCAGTCCCTAACTTCAGGAGTCTCCATCTCCACTCACCTGGCTCACTTCAAGGTCTCCTGCCTTAGCTGTAGATGCCATTGGGTCGGTGAGAAAGGGCTGCTTCTGTGCTCCTGGCACCCGACAACAGAACAAAACCAGAGAATTGTATAATTCCTTTAATTAAGTGCACAGAATCCAAAAACTATGGGACCAGAGCCCACTGACAAACTGGGGAGTGCTGAAGTCTTTATCATAATGTTATTTATGACAAAACTAAGATTTGAAAAGGGCATAAACAATTGCATAAGATCAAAGATTTTTTCTCCAAGGTCCTGATATCTGCTATGTTATGTGGGTCGGCTTTGTGAAGTCTACCAGCAATTTAAGAATGCATTTACATAATTCATTGTCAGGCTGTTAATATATTTCTTTTCCAGAATTCAGCATTTCTAGGAGAGCCTAATTCCTTCTTTTATATTCCTCCTGTTATTACTACATTATCAGCAGGTCTGGAACTTTCTATTGCTCCATGTTCCACACTTTTAAAGCACATCTTCCTATTCAACATATTCTTTAAATAATTACAAATCTCTTTTATAATAAACCTTTACCATCTTGTTACCAGTCTACATTTTATCTTCTTTTGGTTCTGCCTTTAAGGTTGTTCAGCAATGCTAATTATAAAGAAGAAGATAAAGTCGAACTGCTTTTCTTCCCCACTCACATCAGCTCAGAAAATGAATTGTAGCATTTTCCTTCCTTATTTGTGCAGGTAATGATGTATTCATTGTGGCAAAGCCTTCATAGATAATAAAAATTACATGCTTTTTGCAGATGTGCTAATTATCTTCCCTTGATCAAGAAAAAAATATTGAATTGGCTTCCAACTACACAGTTTAATTTGCACCCATATTTGATGCTGTCAAAAAGCCTGAGCTATTTTTATGTTACTTTATTTTTTGGCCTAGAAATAAAAATATTATGGAAAATTTTTATTTTAGAAAGCTAAAAACATCTAGTGCATATGATTGACTGTGAAAGGTCCTACCAGTTAAGTTAGAATGCTGATACAAATGGAGAGAGATGACAAGAAAATCAAAAGACAACAGAATGGATGGTTTGCAGTATCCAACTTGAGTAATGGGAATTAATTCAATCTACTTTGGACATGCAGAGATAACTCTATTATTAAATGACCACTTGTACCAGAAAAAAACACAAACTATATATTTTTAAATATAAAAACTATATCACTCGCTGGCAACTGAAAAAGGCCAATAATTTCCATCATGTACCATTTATTTATCTACAAATTTATTTATATTTATACAGCATTCTGACCAAAATTGTTTGCAATGGTAAAATAGTTTTATTAAATTCTGTTAACATTTGACAATAGTTCTCTGTATTTAGTTCTGAAATTCTGTTTAAGACTATATTCTAGGAGGGAGAAACCATTATTGAGCCTTACACATTTCAACCTCAAAGCAGTCATTCAGTAGTGTTTATGCATATAAAGTAATACTGTCAGTACTGTGAAATATTGCAACTTAAACAAAATGATCCCCTTGGGAAGGACAAAATGAGAAGGGGAAAAAAGCTTGTCTTTGTGTTTTGTGGTTTGGTTTGGTTGGTTTGGTTTGGTTTGGTATTGAGAACAAAATTTTTCTTCAATTTCAACCTGGAGAAACATTCAAAATAAACAAGGGAAAACTGATTTGCCTTTACTTCTAATGAAAAAAAATCATAAACCAACTAGTCCACATTTTTTCACTCCCTTTCTCTCCTAGACTTATTTGTACAGACATTCAAAGATCCATAAAACACTGGTGAAGCATTTAATGAACCCACTGTAAGACCAAAGTGTCACTGACCCCATCATATGTATATCATATTACACAAATCTACTTATTGGGTGGCTTAGACATAAACTTCACATACACATGAAAGTATAATATAAAATATAAGATAGATCATCCTTGAAAATAATAAATATCTCAATTTCAAAATATTATGAATATGCCACTCATAATAGTTTGGGGACCAACCTTACCTCTCACCTGATATTAGTAATAATAACTTGCAGAAATCTCTGTGGGGAAAGGAAACTGCTAAACTAATCCATGTGTAAGCCCTGATGTGCGCACTTGGCTTATGTTCTGGTAAGAGAATCCCCAGTAAGAATCGGTGCTCTTTCCTTGAGCCTGGAGTCAGCTGGCTGCTGCCACTGTGACAAGACAAGGGTCTCACACTGCAGTTGCTCCAGATCTCTTACATCACTCATGATCTGCACCTCATGCTCCTACTTCAGTCTACACCACAAGGCTCACCTTTCTTTCTCCGGGGTTTTGAATGCCAGAGTAAAAGATATTATAAGACATTCTCAAAGTCATATAGGTGGAATCCAGAAACATAAAGGTATCTTTGCCATTTTTTCCTCACAGCTGGGACAAAATATTCAATACCCACAATTTAAAGAACAGTTTTATTTTGGCTCACACTTTTAGCTCAAGTTGGTTGGCTCCAAGGCAGGAAGTCATGGTGGAAGAGTCTGCTAGAGGAAAGCTACTAACCTCATGGCAGCCAGGAAGCAGAGAACTAAAGGAAGAACTGATGAAGGAGATGCACCCTACGGGGTCCTGCTCCAAGTAAACCCACCTCTTCAGACCAGGCCCCACCTCCAAACATCACATTTAGCAATAGGGCCCCTATGATTCAATCACTTTTCAAAAGCCCTGCCTATGAGCACATGAGGCACTTGAGGGACATCCAAACATAAACTATAACACATCCCATGGGGTAAAATTTGGCCAACAGAAGGCAGTTACTAGCAGATAAATTCTGCTACTTTTCACTGTTGAACTCCTTGGAGAGACAGTACCCTCTCATGATTTGACTAGTCATTCTGTGAGACATAGCTGTGATCAGCTAACAACTCCTCTACATTTGTGGCTCCTCCTTCTCTTCCTCACTTTCCTTTCCCCTTACTTTTCTTGGATTGCTCTTGTAATAAATTATAGCATGTCATATTGGCTGCAAGCATTGTTTTGTAAGGAATTTAGGAAGAGACAATATCCAACAGGGAATAAGCAAAAAAGATTAGTGATTGATTAATGGTTCCAATTAATGTAGAAATTATAAACTTACATTCAGTTTGTCTGAAGAGTTATATGG